TCGATCTCAAACGAGGACTTTGATAATTTTAGTTGACAATTTAATGAAATCCGTACTAGATCTACTAATGAATCCCAGCGTTTTTAAGGATCTCTTCACCATATCATGTATGTGATGCGTGAAAGTTAACATACTATCAAATAAGATGCCTAAATCCTTTATCATTACGTGTCTAATTAGTGCAGTGTCTCCAATAGTGTATTCATGCATTATTGGTTTTACTTTTCTGGAAAAAGAAATATACCTGCATTTAGAAACGTTCAAGTGTAATTTATTTTCTCTACATCAAACATGAATTTTATCTAAGTCACTCTGAAGTATAGCACCATCAGATTCACTTGTTATTTTTCTAAAAATTTTCAGATCATCAGCAAATAGTAATTTTCTGGAACTTATTATTTTTGGCAAATCGTTGATAAATATCAAAAATAGAAAGGGACCTAAGTTTGACCCTTGCATAAACTACGAATTGTCGTCGATCAGTTAAGTAAGATTCGATGAGAACTGCCACAGTATGAGAAAATCCATATTCCATTAATTTATTGAGAATAATATAATGATCTATTTGATCAAACGCTTTTTGAAAATCTATATATATTACGTCGACTTGTCCTTGTTCGTCCATAATGTAATATTATACACAGCTATGCGAATAATTACCCAAGGAAGAGTGTTCGAGAGTCCCTCTAAAAATAGCATTTTAAAACGAATTTTGAAGGTTTTTTCACTCTAAAATTCGCTCATTTCGTTTTTATCCTTATCAATAAAAAATTGATTATGGAAATCACTCCAAAATTCGATTTTGAGATTTCACCGGATACTTGACCATACGTTGTTTGCTTCTGTTATAGGCTATTTTTGGAACTCCCTAGCCCTTATTACTTACTAGATTCTTCTCTCCTTCTCTCCTTTTCTTCTTCTCTCTCCCTCTCCCTCGCACCCTCCTTTGACAATCTGTTATGAAATATAACGAATTATTTATATCCGATCACGATAAACGATAAGGAGCCGAGGAGGAGGCCGTGGTTGGTAGAAATTAAATGCTTTCGTTGAGACCTTTCATTAGAGTACCATGAAGGCTAAAACCGGTTCCCCTCAACCCCCTCTTTTGATAAGGAGTTAGAAAAAAGGGTGGCAAGTGGTAGAAAACAGTTCCTCTTGTTGAGACCACCCTCACCCCGGCCGGGCACTGATCTTGAAAAGGAGTCGCGCAGGAAACTTTTGTACAAACCAATTCATTTCGGTGAAACAATTTATTAGAATACCATGAAGGGTAGAACATGCGTTTACCCCCCTTCCATTTTCAAAAATCTGAGACCAGTTGGTTGTTGCATGTAAAAGTTATGCACGTTTCACTTCCAAAAACAACATCTCGGGAAATAATTCATGGAGGCACACCTTTAAGGTATAGGTTATATACTGCAACAAAATATAGGACTCTAGGGTCATTCCTTTAAAAGTAGTTCAAAACCGCAGAAGTGAGTCCGGACACGCACATTTTTTATTGTTAATAAATGCGCTAAAATAATTGTTATATTGGTATTTCTGCCAGTGCCGTCTAGATTGAATTTTATCTTATGCAAGTGGGCTCTCCAACCCCTACAAATGTTACTAGCCCGTTACAAGTGGCCCCCAACGTGGGACTCGAATAATTCCCTGTAAGGGTCTAGTGTTTCAAACTAAAAATAAAAAATCAGTTCGTGTACTCGAGTGGCATTTAAACGGAACATTTTTTAGTTGTGCGCAAACTATAGATTCATGAACCGTTACAAATTTTTGCGAAATAAACATTTAAGTACACAAAAGGGCGATCGCAGAAGTTACGGTTAAAATTTATCGCTACCAGTGGCAGGGTAAATGTTTTTTATAAAAGGAGTTTCACAATTTGATTAATTTATTGGAAGTTAAGATTGATATCTTAAATACTTTTTGAATTTAGAGGAATACCAAGGTAAGTTTTTTTTGTAAATCGTATATGTGATTAGGGTCAGACTTAAAGAAGCTTTAATTCTAGAAAAAGAAAGCACACCAGTAATTCCAGAAGTTCAAAGTGACAACAGGTATTTTGCAGAAAGCCGAGACATTTTTGGATACTTGAAAAGACAACTTTGGAGGATATGAAGCATAGGCGCAATTAGACTTAAACTTTGGGGGAGGGGGGCAATTCATTGGATTCAATAACATTTTTAGAACTGCAGTTTGGCATCAGGTAGGCGTAAACAACATTACTGTAAACAAAAACTGGAGCAAGCGAAAGTCACTTCAATTAACAATCTTTTTTTTTAGAGAATTGTTTATTTTTCATCGATGGCGTGAGCTAAAAAACGCTGCATTTAGTGGGGTTAATTACACTTACATATCGGAATTCCCGAGAGATGACTCACTCGTTCACTACCACCGACCGACGCCTAATAATCTTTCGCTGGGGTAACAAGAGAGTTCAAAAATAAAATAAAGGTACCTACTGTCTCTAAATAGTGTCCAGAAAAGCCTATCCCTGATCTTTTTCCTTTAGACTTTAGAGTACCACTCACAAGTTTTTTTGCTGATTTTTAATTTTTTTTAATTTAATGACGTAATACGGGAATAACCCCAAAAGCACAAACATATTTCGGTGTACAGTTTCAAAGTACTACAAAAAATAAAAATAACTGCATTTTAAACTAAATTTTAAATTAAGATTAGGTACAAGTACACCTGATAAATGGTAGTTTATATATAATTATAATAATGATAGTTATGAGGATATTGTTTTCTAGTGGAAAATCCTAATCACCACTACCATTGTACTGTCGAAATAACGTCGGTAGTGTTTTTGATTCCGTATTTAAAAGGCGACGACATCGTCATTGTTATAATGGCAATTTTAGGAGAAATAGAAAGAAATAGCCAAAAAGTAGCTTTTAGCAGTCCGACGTTTACCTAAACTTCGTACTTGCCCTAAAATCTGATACTTCTTCCACTTGCATTATAAACAACTATCTTTGAACGGCGTCCAGCACTTGTTGTTGTTGTGGTTTGGGCTACCAAAAAATTAGCCATAAGATTATTTTGTGTGCAAAACCTAAAAGAACTAAAATCTCCTACACTATATTATACCTTTTACACTATTTTCCTATTTTATTGGATTATACAATTTATAACAACGTAGGTAGGTACCTCCAACAGTAAAAAATTTCGCAGTTGCAGCTGTGATATCGATATGAAAACTAAGTTAAAAATACTTTCCGAAAATTAAAAGTAAGTTAGCATACGGTAAAATTAAATCACCATTTATTATAACGAAATTCAAATTTCGAGTTCCCTTCGCGAAATTGAGCTAAAATTTGTTACATAAATTGTTATAATAAGATTTCGTGCCCTTTAAGGTAGAGTTTCTTTGAAACGGACGGGGTTTTAATATCTACGAATGTGCGCATCGGATTGTGGTGTATTGCCGTTCTTTGTATTCAAATGAGACCATCTGTATACCCCTATATATTTAAACTTATCTGTAGGTATAAGACGGATTTTCAACTGTAAACAAATGTAGGTAGGTATGCAATCACACACATGAAAATTAACGAGTGATAGATGTTTTCGCAAGAGTTCATTTAATATCCAGAGTTCCCACAATGTAACGTTTATATGAGAAAATGCGTTTTGGTAATAATGCTTCAAATACGTAATGCTCTCGTGCAAAGTCGTCTTTATTTTCAAACGATTTCCGGATGAAAGTTGCGTTTTAAGGGTTTGATCTTTTCAGGTTAAAACCCTTTGCATAACTCAATATCCAATGACGAGGCGGACGCTTGTCATTTTGGAGAAGATAATTTCAGAAAAACATTGAAAACTATAGGTTTTTCACTTTAGTCGCAAACATTTACCTATTAGTCAGGCTATTACTCCAATCAATGAGTACATACTCAAGGGAGAGGTGTAAAAAAATGCTAGGAGCGTCACGATAACTCGTCGACTTTCTGTTGCAACAATCAGCGTCAATGGTTGAAGGAGCTGCAGTTCTAAACACTCAGTAGCATTTCATTCTACCATACGGTCCCCACATGGGATACTTTGGGAGGCTGAGGTAAAAAAATCAAAATTTCACTTCAAAGGGCCTTCACCGAGACTCCGGTCATGCAGAGCCAGGTGCAGAGCCGTAGCCAAAGCTGCGGGGGCAGGGGGAGCCTGTCCCCTCGTCTTATTAGGGAGTTGGCATTTTTTATCCTTATGTGGTTGTGGTTGGCATTATAATAACGCGATCATCATCCAGTGGAAATTTATCCAACTGAATAATTATATCGCAAAAAGAAGCTGTTTCGTAACTTGTTATTTTTTCTTTCCGCGTCAAATTTTCAAACTGAAGGTCTTATATTCACTATTCGCGATTCAGATTAGCTGGTTGTGCGCGGTTTGGAAACATTGGGTTATTCTAGCAGGTATTTCAGTGAAATTGTACTAAGAAAATTACTTGGGTTCATCATGCCGTTTTTGAGACTTGAAAATATAACCCCTTAATCGTATCCTACCTGAAAGACCTTTTTCTTAAGAACCCCAGGCCGTCTCGAATTAGCTTGAACATATGCAATAAACTTAATTTTCTAATTAAAAATAAAAATCACAATCTATCATTAAATTTCTAGCGCACTCGCACAACTGTACAACAACTCGCCGACATTCCCTTACGTTGATTATGTTTAAAACAGCCTTACTATTTGTGGCATAGTTACACTGACCACATTTAAACAATAGATATTCTTTGATCTGTCGTACTTTAATTTTTTCTTATTATTTGTTGCATACCTAATTGCACAGAGTGTACGTAACGTCTTTCAATGTGAATATTCCGCTTTTAAGTTTTGCTTATTGCGAGTAGCGCAATTACACTGTTCACAAATTAAATGTTGGGTATAGGTGACACTTTAAGTGAACGCTTATTTGTAGCGTAATTACACTGATAGCAGTAATAGTGACAATGTGCTGCAACCAGAGGTCTCACTGTTAACCACCTGAATCGCGAACCCAAGAGTCAGATCATAATTTAGCCAGTACCAGTGCAAGTTGGCATATTTGATACTTCTTCCCCCCTCATTGCCGATGTTTTCGCTACGTCTCTGCGCTTACGTATGAAGAATTCACTACAGTCCTCGTTCAAATACAGGCAATTTTGAATTCTAGGGTGCCCACTCCACTCTCTTCTCCTATCTCCCTAAGGTAGGTATTCAGATGAATCGCCTGTCAAGATATCAATATCTTCAGTACTTACAACAAAGGTGGCGCCTTCGTAATCTTTAAGTTCGGAATCAAAAGGGCACTCTTGAAATTGGTGCATTGGTTATAATCATGGATGATAGCGTAACAGTTGGACACTGGGAATACTAGTCGAAACGCATGCTGGAAAGGACAATATCGTGCAATTTAGTTAAAACAAAACTGGTAAGAAACAAGGGATAATACACACTTTATTACCGCAATATTTTCTGAAGTACGTATGGTGTCGCAGTCGCGCTATCCTGTATGGATTTAGAAGCGTTTCTATATTGTGATAGAATTAAAGACAAAAGTACAAAAATGTCACTTGCATGATCACGTCAATGCTAGACAGTTGTTTTTTTGTAAATGGCTGTTTTACATCATCCCTCATACCACCGTTCCCATATCAGGTGGGATACGTGATAACTTCAAATACGATTTTAAAGCGAGTGTTTATAAATACACATGAATTGTATAGAGAGATACATTTCATTTTGCTCGAAGCTGCATCGCTGTGTTTATTCGCATGCCTACTTTTGTAGTCCTTTCCGATTCGAAGTAGGTTACGTTAACATTGTTCGCATCAACATTACGAGTTCACGTGCTTAAAAGTGAATCAGCCTTTATAAAGAAACCGAGAATATAAACGTGGGTTTATATTTCGAGCGTATAAATGCAAAAGGGCTCTACGTATGGATGTATTTACCTACAGGCTACATTTTTCTTATATCACGTGCTCTTGCTTTGCTTTGGTATTCTTGCGAGTGCTTTATAATTCTCACTGTTGAAGTAAAAATATATTCTGCAATAAGCAGAACTTTTATAATTAATCAAGATTTCGTTTCGTACTGTAAGTTGACAATTTCGATCACCTAACTAAAATTGAAGGTGACAGTATTATAGTCGCAGTGGCAGTTGGGCATACTTTTGGTTCTTTTTCGACCTGTGGTAAGTAAATCAAGGTAGCACTGGGTCGGTTGAAATGCATGTTAAGTGGAAACTAAGCGTCTTATTTATTCAATTATCCACTGTGGTAATTAAGATTTTCCCGTTCAACAAATTGTAGTAAGTAGTAATTCCGCTAAAATCAAATTGCGTTGCGTAAATTAAGATTGGAAGATTATACAGACTTCGTTCTGGGAAATTCGACTACCTATTCAGATGTAAATTTCATAAACGACCAACGGTAGTACTCGGAACCTTAATCTTCAATTAAAAAATTTTACATTATAATTAAATTCTAACTTTATATACCCTGTAGTACCTGAATGGCAGGTGATGAGCTACTTATAGCCAAAGTTTTGACCGTAATTGATTAATTGAATTAACACCGGAATTATCGAGAAATAGGGAGTTGGCACAGAAATATTGTTGCATTTTACTCCAATGAGTTAACTTGGATTTGCATTCGACTGACTAGTCTTATAGAGAACTGTTCATCGATGGGACGGACAATAGCAACTTCTTTATTTTATATAATCAGTTGCATAGTCATTCAGTAGCAAAAATGTACAACTGCAGCGGAAAAGATACGACAAAGTCAATTACAGATTACTTGCACTTTGGTAGCTGCTTCGGTACTTCACGCATTGCATTGCAGAACGTCTGATGTTAAATACCAGATAGGACCATTGTAATGCTCATTTCATCCAAAAACTACAATACCAATATCAGACTAAAATCCAATTAATCAATGAGTTTCGGATTGCGATATAGGCCAAAGAAAGACAGGTAATTCAACATATTGCATAACCCTAAAAGAAACGTGTTAACCAAATAAGGAATCCTCGAAATGATATCAACTACGCAATCTCGTAAATACGTATGGATATATAATTTCGGTTGTGGTACGTGATCGCGAACAGTCAGGGTATTTTTGTGATGTAATTTTTTTGTATGAGCCATACCAATACTTTGTATACAGGAATGTAAGAATAAAAATGGTACACGATCGCTTTTGTGTTTATAAAAAAATATTTTTATTACTCAGCTAGCCGTGGGTAAATTAAAAGATAATTGGTATAATGGGATTTCTGCCAGTGGGGCATAGATTAAATTTTATCTTATGCAAGTAGGCTCTTCAACCCCTACACATGTTACTAGCCCGTTACAAGTGGCCCCCAACGTGGGACTCGAATTAGCCCCCTGTAAGGGTCTAGTGTTTCAAACTAGAAATAAAAAATCAGTTTGCGTACGCGAGTTGCATTTAAACAAAACATTTTTTAGTTGTGCGCAAACTATAGATTCATGGACCGTTACAAATTTTTGCGAAATAAACATTTAAGTACACAAAAGGGTGATCGCAGAAGTTAGGGTTAAAGTTTTTCGCTACTAGTGGCAGAGTAAATATGTTTTATAAAAAGGGATTTCAGATTTTTTTTTAATTTATTGGTAGTTAGGATTGATATCTTACATACTTTTTCAATTTAGAGGGATACCGAGGTAGGATTTTTTTGTAAATCTTATATGGAATTAGGGTTATGCTTAAAGAAGCCTTTATTCTAGAAAAAGAAAGCATACCAGAAATTACAGAAGTAGTAAACTAAACTAATACACTAATACTTATTTGGCAAAAAAGGCAATTTTTCGAAATTTCAAAATTTTTTTTTACTTCAAAACTACATTTTTTTCAAAACTAACCACTTTGCTCCGGTCAAACTTACAGATCATATCAACCATACATAAATAAAGTAAACTGTAAAGCGGTAACGCTTAATTACAATTAGGGTGCTAATTAGGGGGTGATTTCCTCAATTTTTATTTACAAAAAAAAAAGGACCAACTTTATTTTGAGCGTAACTCACTTAGCTTTGATGCTAGGAACTTTTCTTAAAAACAAAATGAAAGGTTTTTTCAAACACTTTAAAAAAGTATTCATAAGTTTTCCCCGAAAAGTGCTTCATTTTTTGGTTATTTCACGTTGAAGTACTCGATTTGGAATTTGACGAATGAGAACCTACTTTTCATGAGCTACAACTTTGTTTCTACTGGGTCTACAGACTTCATATTAGACCATTTTGTTTGTTTTTTTATAAGCTATATTTTTGCTAAGAATACTTTTTTCGATACAATACTTACTTTTAGAGTTGTTTGCGAAAAACCGTCTGAAAACGTGGTTTTTTTGTTGAAAAATGAACATTTTCACTCGCAAATAACTCTAATACTATTGACTTAGTGAAAAAACTCTATAGAACAAAAGTTGCTTAGAATTACTCAATTTATCAATTTCCGGACTTATTTTGAACGTATCTTTTTTCCCCCCCCATTCACCCCCAAGTAAAAGCAACCCTGGGCCAAGTTCAACTTTGAAGTGGAGGGTAAGTAGAACCTAAATCCAAATTTTCATGCGATTCGGTGGAGACGCGGAAAATTACACAGTATCGCCGTATTCCACGTTCATTTACTGACCTATGTCCAATTCCAATACAAGTGAAGTTGATTGAAGTTAAGAAATGTAGTTAGGTTAAATGTATGTTTATATATAAATGTATAGAAGTTTATTAAAGACATACGAAGTGAAGTTAAATCAAGTTACTTTATTGTTCATTCTTTTTGAGATGATTTAGGTTTTTTTGGGTTAAATAAGTTAGTATGTTGAAACTTTCCAGAATTTTTTATGTTAGGTCAATTACGTCAGGCCAAAGCCCCCGTTTGTTTTGTTGTTTTTCAAATCTCGTGAACTCTTTTTCGTTTTAAAAAACAGGAGGGGGTATTGTGATAGGTGGTCGCTTTAGAGTTAAAAAAAGTAATTTTTTCGAATTTATATTTTGGTGAGCATAGGAAGATTTACACACTTACTGCTTTATAGCAAATAGAAACAGAAATATATCTGGGAATAAAAAGGTGATAACAACGCGTTCATTTTCAATAAAAAGTGTAACCTAGGGTGTAAGTGTTATATTCCTGAAGAAACCGACTTATCACAACGATTTGCATAATAAGATTTTGCATTGTATTTTAGTTATAAGAATCAGATCCAATCAAAGGATTTTGGTTATTTTGAGAATTTAATTCGTTTGGTTGGATTGTAATTGTATGAGACACATCTAGTGATGTGGCCGAATCTTAAGTGTGAATAGATCCAGCACGGAGTTTAAGAAGGGGTACTCACAAAGAGCGATTGGAAGCCTTGACGAGACCTACTTACTGCTGAACTTTTGAGTTAATATCTCGAAAACGGAGTATCGAGGAGGATACCCACAGACGGAAAATGCAATAATGCGAAGTATTTTTCTAAGGACTTAAATTTTCTCTCATTAAAGTGCGTACAATTTGAATGTCTACCAGGCGGCCTTTAATGTTTATTTATAAAGAACACCCAACAACAAACTGCCCATTTGGGGCTTGGTTTCTTTTCAATCGTCCCTCTAACGAAAATGTAGTGTAGGTACTTTATCCTGCAAAAATTTTTGGACTATCTTAAGAGCAATGTACTTATACCAAACTAGTTTTAAGTTTATGTTAGGTTATTGATTTCGAACAAAAATGGATCGTATTTTACCCTTTCATTTATTTTAAATAGGCATGTATGCCACCGAGTTTAGGAAAAAGTAAAAAACTTCTAAAGATTTTAAGATGCCATAAAGTTACCCTTTAGAAATTTAGCGAGAGGAAACTTTTTCTGAAAATGAAAATAGTATTTTAATTCATTGAATGACAATAGAGAAATAACTCATTGCATGGATAACGTAAGTTGATCTGTGGTAATGAGTTAGCTTTCTGAATTCTATACACACCTACACCTTTGCAATATAGAATGGTCGTCTAATGTGACTAAAGAAATATCCTTATCGGCTTGGTCGATGTTAATCTCAAAGGCGAATCGTTTATGACCTACCAAAACATACTTCAATGGCCTCTAAAACGAAGTGGTTTCGTATAATCTTTATATCGTTGCGTTCCGAAGATTTATTGCTAATTAAGTGTTCCATTCAGATATTGAAAACCACAACGTCCAAAACATTACTAAGGGTAATACAGCATCCCTGAAATTCTAATAGCAACGTTAAAATATTCAAAAGAAGACAGTACAGCAAAGGTTTAATCTAAAATCTCCCTGCGAAAATTAATTATAAGATGACCCAAACCAAATGAATTAATTTGCCTTGACATTCCCGCGGTAATTAACATGCAAAAAATTTAATAGGATTTGGCACCGAGGGAATGTTTTTAGTTTAGAAACGAAATGAATCGGTTTCATTAAGGGTCCGAATTAAAAGATTGTCGCCCATGATTTATTGATGTAAATAGATCAATTAAAAGGGAACGTTGTCTGTAACTAATCCGTTGACTAAAACAGTAATAAATCAAGTTTGAATATAAACCGATGTACAAACAGACTCTT